TTGTTCTGGTTTTTGTTTCTCTTATTAAGCAATTTGGAACATTTTTAAATGATTCTTAATAGTCTGCGATTTTTTTTTGAGAATTGTTTATTCATATCCTGACTTTTTAAAAAAATTTTTGCTTTTTTTTGGTGAAGTAATCGGGGTTAAGTGACTTGGCCAGAGTCACACTGCTAGTGTTACTCCAAAGCCAGAGCTCTATCCACTGCACCACCTAGCTGCCCCCCATATCCTTTGATTTTAAAGACACAATTGGACTTTAAAGAACCATTCACAAACAACACTACAGTTTTCTAAGTCCTTTAAATAGAAATATATATATATTATTTTTAAGTTATGTTTATTATGCACGTAAGTTAATTAAAACTTTGATTTAATTGGAAATTGTTGGCTTTTGGTCTAGATGAAATGGATTTTAATTTTTTAGAACTAGGTTGAGTTTAATTCTTAATATAAATACAAAGAACTAAGGTGCTTACCTGATTCACTAAGATTACATATTTTGTTGTCCATACATTTAATAGTGCATAGGTTTCATGTGCTTAATAGAAAAATTGCTATAGAAATGTTTCCATTAGAAGTGTCTTCTTTTTTTAGCCCCAAAACTTTCTGGCTTTGTGTTTCATTTAATTCAAATATAGCCTGGTAGACAGAAACTTAAAAACATCATTTTTTTTCACTTAGTCACCTGGCATTTTTTAAGTCCCTACTACAGGTTAGATGTTGTGCTAAGTTTCAGGGGTACAAAGAAAAGTTAAAACCAGTTTCTTCTCTTAAGGAGCCCGTAATCTGATGGGGAAGACAAGATGCAAGGAACTGTATACAAACAAGATACATAGGATAAATTGAAGAAAATCTGAGATTAAGAAGGACTAGGAAACAGAAGAGAGAAGGGGGCATATAGAAAAGATGGCATGAAGGTGTAAATGACAGGACTTGACCAGTGTTTGGGTATAGGAGATGAGAGAGAGTAAGGAGAAAAAAAAAAGACTAGAAAAGGCATCTTGCAGAAGATGAGAGCCAGAGAAGGTAAGAGGTTGAGATAAAGAGAGAGCATTCTGGGCATGAGAGACAAGCTGGTGAGGATGCTCAGGAGTCAGGAGGTGTGAAATCTTGTTCAAGGAGTGGCAAGGAGGCCAGTGTCACTAAGTCACTGAGTAAGAAGAGGAAAGATGTAAGAAGACAGAAAATGTAAGAAGGGGCCAGATTATAAAGGGAAGAGCAAAACAAGATTTTATATTTTTTTATTGGCGGTGACAGGGAGCTATTGGAATTTATTGAATAGAGGAAGACATGGTCAAACTTGTGCTTTAGGAAGATCAGTTTGACAGCTGAGTGGAGGAGGTATTAGAGTGGGGAAGAACTTGAGGCAGGTAGAACAACCAGCAGGCAGTTGTAACAGCCCTGGTGTGAGGTCTTGCAGTGTCCAGAGAGGAGACATGTGAGAGATATTATAAAGGTAGAAATCAGTCACTGTTTATATATTCATTATAAGTAGAAAAATTGCAAACCACATTTGTCACCTTCTCCTTTGCCTTTTTAGTTTCTAACTTTTTATTTCCCTTGGTTTTGTGTAGTTACAGTGCTTTTCCACCAAAAGTAAGTCTGCACCTTCGTGTCCTTTAGCAGTGTCCTAAACAGCCAGTGTTAAGTCGCATGTATAGGTTTTCTGTTTCTTTATGTTGTAGCCTGATTCAGACCGATTTCATTGCTTCAGGTTTAGAATTGAAATGAAATGAGACACTTGTAGACCATCAGACCATCTTACAGTTAACAAAAGGAGGTTTACTTCACCATAACTTTGAAAGGATATTGTACAGGGACACGAGATTAATTCACTTAGTTTTTTTGCCTTTGTGTTGGCCCTGTTGACATGCCTGTCAAGCCCTTCTTCCCCATGTACTTTTGTACATAAGCCACCAAGAAGCTATGCACTGGCCCAAGATTTATGGTTGCAATATCTTTTGCTTTGTATTTATTTTTGAGGCTAGTTCTCCCTTTCTCAGACTGGGAATAAATACATTGACTTCTCACAGATCTGATCCCAGTGCTCATTGGCTTATTGGCCAACCTACTAGAGGGCCAGTTTGTCTCTCCTTAGGCAGCCCAGTAGCCTTCCTTTCCTGAGGGTTCACATTTATGCTACAGCAGCTATTAAGTTATTCCTTCAGTAGCTCAGAACTTTTGAACTTATGAGATCAGCAAACAGGGACTAATGGTGAGGTATCACAACCAACATTTCAGTACCTTTTAAGGGAAAACTAAAGCAGATAATGTTCCCACTGCCTCTCACACCTTGGTGGCAAGGTAATAAAGGTCATCTAGAGCGGGAGTATCAAACTCAAATAGAAATGGGCCACTAAACCATACATAAGGATCTCTGCAGGCCACAGATTGTCTTAGAACACTACAAATTAGCATTTTCTGTGTTTTATTGTACTTTTATTTATTTTGTTAAGTATTTCTCAATTACATTTTAATCTGGGGAAGCCACCTAGGAGTAGCTAGAACCAGTGGCCTGGTATTTGAGCCTTTGTTCTAGAGGACCTTATGTAGCTTTAATGGCTTTAGGGCCATTACTAGACAAGTCAGTCTCCAGATCAAAAGATGATGAGATCACATTCTCATCAGTCACAAGAAAGAAGCCTGTTGTAGGCAGTATGGGGAAAGGAACTTAGTCCAAGTAAAAGAAAAACGAAAACAGAAATGACAACAATATAATATTCTTCCAAAAGGGATACTGAACATAGAGAATGAAGATCAGAAATCCTAGGTCTTGCCTCCTTCTCCCTTCAGAAAGACTAATTTCCAGACCCTAATGATCTGGTCCATGTTTTGGTACTGCCAAATCTTTGCAGTTCATAGTGTGTCTCCCACATGTAAAGTGGTGAAAATGAGCAGGAGCAGCACCAGAAATGTCAGGGCCATAGCACAGATGATGACGCTTCTGGTACAGCCACTATTCTTCATTTACAGAGTACAGCTGTAATAAGGAAGCTGAGAGTTCATTAACTTCTCAGGTGCCATTGTCAATACTGAAACTTTCTCTATATCCGCATCCCTTCATTGTTCCCTGGCCCACCAGTGGCACGCGTGCGCGCACACACACACACCTCTCCCACCTCTGCCCCCAGTTGCATGGGGAGAAGAGTTGAGAGAACCAAACAGTAATACCAAATCTCTGCCTTTTTATATACCTCTGTTGAAGGATTGCCAGCTTCCATGGGAGCTAGAGTAAAGACTCTATCATCTTCATCTGGGAACTCAGCATTACTACCAAGTCAGCTAGGGTATCCCCTTTTTTCCAGCTAAATACCTTTTTAGTTTCATCTTCCATCAAAGACATTGGTAAAATTCCTCTGTTAGTCCTCAAGCTAAAAGAGAGAGCCTTTGATTGGTTGGTCCTACCTTCTCCAGGCTCCAGACCACTTGGTTGGACCCATAACCACTGGCCATGAATCCAGGATAGATGAAGATCTTATCCAAAACATCCCTGAAGGCTCTATCACACTCTAGCCTTGCTATAGAATCTCCATCCCTCAGGGTATCCACCATTACTGGATTAATTACTGCTGATGTCCAGTTGCACACGTTTCTCTTATCATAGAGCCACTGGTGAATCAGGCAAAATGGCATTCTTCTGGAGTCAGGTCCTACTAGATGAAGGCTCGCTGGGCTAATAGAGGGGGCAGGATGTCGGGGCTGGTACTAGAAGCATCAGCTTCTAACATAGTTTACAACTTGTTCATGAGAGGCCCTGACACCCAATGGAACCTGGTGAGAATGATTTTGAATCTACTATTTCCATTAAATAATAGAGGCCTCTTTTACCCTACCCATTTTGCTAGAGGAACCATCTCGTATCACTCAACTCATAATAAGCAAACCTAGAAGAAGGATGATAATATGACATGCCACATTATCTGTTCAGTAGCAAACAGGGCCTGGCAGTGTGCAAGAAACTGCTTTTCAAAACTTCTAAAGAAAGTTGCCTCTTTGGAGAGATTATAGCCCTAGAAACCAAATAGTGTATAGTTTGATCACCCCTGGGTGCCTGCCAAAACCTCCACTTAGCCTGTTGTTTATGGACAAAGTCCTCTTCCTCCCCACACCTCCCCCCCGTTAAAATTGATCAGACAGAAGTAAAATACTTCATCAGGCATCAAGAAATATTTAAAGTCCAAAAATTGAGGAGGGGGGGAATAGATGAAAATGTGAAATATCTCATAGTGGGGGAAAAAAACTGATCTGGAAAAGAGATCAAAGAGACAATAAAAGTCACCTGAAGGCCATGACTTAAAAAAGAACCAAGTAATCTACCCATCCATGCCCCGTTTTGTACTTATAAAATTGATTTTTTTGGTACCTGAATACAAGACTTTATACTTGTCCCTATTGAATTTCATCTTCTTAGATTTAGCCTAGTGCTCTTTCTTATCTTTTCAGTCCTGGCACTTCCTCTTGGTGTGGTCTCATCTTCAAATTTGATAAGCTATATGTCACCTAAATCATTAATAAAAATATTAAACAGGACAGGGCTATTACTTTCTCATTCCAGCCATCCAGCCAATCAGTGCTCAATCCATCTGATTATATTATCATCCAATCCATATTTCTCCACCTTCCTCACAAAAATAGTATGAAAAGCTGCTAAAATCTAGGTATGCTATATCAACACTGCTTCCCTCATCTTGTAGTTCAGTAATCCTGTCAAAAATCGAAATGAGGTTAGTTTGGCATGACATGTTCTTGATAAAGCCAAGGGAATTATGTAATCACCATTCCTTTTCTAGTTGTTGGTGAACCATCTCTTTAATGACACTTTGAAAATTTCCCCAGGAATCAAAGTCAAGTTCACTGGCCTATAGTTTGTAGACTGTTCTTGTCCCAGTTTTGAAAATTGGATATTTGTCCTTCTCCAATCTTGTGGGCACCTCTCCCGTTTTCCATGATCTTTCAAATATCATAGACACTGGCTCAGCAGTAATATTTGCTGTTTCTTTCAGTTCCTGGGGCTGTGGCTCATCTGGGCAGAGTGACTTGAATTTATCGGGGGCATCTAGGTGATTTTTACTATCTCTTTAAATGTTTCGGGTATTAACTCAATGTTAGTTATTTTCATTCTGTCCTTTCCAATTTAGAGGTCATTATCCTTTGCAGAGAAAATAGGAAAAAAAAGAAAAGAATTAAACTTCTTTCTGTTATCAGTTACTGTCTCATCTGTCCCAATCACAGTAATGACCATGTTACTGCCTTGTGTATACTTTATAGACCATGTTACTTTTAAGATTGAATACTAACTCTTTTCTTTGGCATTTAAAGCTCTTTACAACTTGAACAAGCTTACCTGTCCAGCCTTATCACTTCTCTTCACACATTCTGATTTAGATTTTAGCCCAATTTGCCTTACTCCTGTTCATCAAAAAAGAGATTCCACTTCCTCTCTATATATTGGGGGGGGGGGTGTATATGTGAAACACAAGCACAGGGGAAAAATGATTAGGAGTAGGGAGAAGTATAGTGTAGTTGGTAGAAAGCTGTACTGGAGCCAGAAAGACTTGTCGGTGTTCTAGTTGTTCATCCTTTGTTTTCCAAGACAACCAGTGACGTCACAAGTGATATCTTGACATGTGCCTGAGGTGGATTTAAGAATTAAGCAGAGTTGTAAGCTTCACTCTCTCTTCCTGAGTCATTGAAGTCCAGTAGCAGGACAAAAATCAAGATGACTGGTGATGGCCCAGGATGCAGTGGATGTCTTTGGTGTCTGCAATGCCTGACCACAGTTCTGAGAGCTCCACAGAGCCTGCTTCAGGTGCTTTCGTGGCCATTGGAACAAATTGTTCTCATCCTCCCATTCTACTTGGGGAAAGTTTTCACATGTTTTGGGTAGACATTCCCCTATCAGCAACAGGTTTGAGGCATGTTAGTTAACCTCAAGCTGGTTTAGCTTGTTCCTGAGACATTTTACTAGGGTGTGCATGCTGCAGCTTTTTAGAGCCTCAGGTGAGAGTTGGGTGAAGGTGAACACCGAAGGTGGATGACTAGCCAGCCCTGAAAAGGGCTTGCAAGCCCTCATACCAGAGGTGCTAGTCCTCCCTGAATATCCATAACCTCTGGCATAGGTTGAATTTGTGGCAAATCATTTAGCCTTATATGTCCACCCAACTCCCTTAGATTGTAAATTGCTGGAAAAATTCTGATCTGTGTTAGTAGGTAGAGTTTTCTATTGGGAGTTTCCTGTACCAGTGAAATCACAGGTACAATAAAGAGGTGTATTTAAATACATGGTTATTCTTTCCACATTGCCAGGGTTGGGGACACAGCACCATTGTGATCTGGGACATCCATGTAAAATTTTTTGGCTTTCCTTTCATACCAGAGAAGTCTGAATTTTTTCTTTTTCTTTTATGGGGTGTTTACAGTGCCTTATTGTAAGTTTTGGGCTGAGTGCTTGACCATATTTTAACTTTAAAAAAGAAATTGTGTATATTTATGATATTAAAAGATAAAAGATGTTGATACTATACCTATATTCATTTCTGAGTTTTAAAACTTTTTCTGTGCCATCTGCCAGCCTTTGTATGTAATCTGTGGCTTCTGCAAAACTCTCAAAAAATCCCACTTAATTATTTGTGCTGACCAACAATATATCAAAACCATGATGTGGAAGGGATAACGGTATGTTTATATGTATATTTTATGTATACATAGAAGTATAAGTATACTTTTGTGTTTCCATATTGTCTCCCCCTATAGAATGTAAGCCCTTTGAGGGAAGGGACTTTTTTTTTTCATTAACTTTTAAAAATTCTAATTTTTTTTCTCCTCCCCATAAAAAAATAAAACTGTTCCCTTGAAACAAATGCATGTTCAAGAAAAAAAAATCTGATATTGGCCATGTCCAGAAATATCTCTCTTATTCTGCATATTTAGCTCATCATTTCTTTGTCAGGAGGTGGGTAGCATTCTTCATCATCCATCCTTTGGTATCATGGTTGATCAGAGTTCTTTAGTCTTTCAGAATAATTGATTTTTATAATGTTATTGGGCAGGAATTTTTAAAGTTTTATCCCTAGCATCTAGCACATAGGAGGACCTTAAATATTTGTTGATTGATGACTTCTCTCTAAACTTCAGCCATCTTTCTGTTTCCACTTCCACTCTGCTATTTCAGGCCCTTTTTACTTTGCTTTGTGATTATTGTGGTACCCTCGTAGTCATCTTCCTGATCCCATTCCATTCTTCATACTGATGCCAACAGTTCCTTCCAACTGTTCGGTGTGGAGTAGTGGAGAGGGTTCAAACTTAAAGAAAACCTACATTCAAATTCCACCTCTGACATTTACTAGATGTGTGACCATAGGCCAGTCAGTTAACCTCTCCAAACCTCAGTTTCTTCATCTGTAAAGTGGTGACAATAACTAATAGTGTTTACCTTACTGGAGTATAGTGAGGCTCAAATGAGTTTGCAAAGAATTTCTTTACACATCACCATCAGTAGAATGTTAGTGGAGGTATTAAATTCCACTTTTTTTTTTTTTTGCAAGGCAGTTGGGGTTGAGTGACTTACCTGGAGCCACACAGTTAGTAAGGCTGGATTTGAACTCAGGTCCTCCTGAATCCAGGGCCAGTGCTCTATCCACTGCGCCACCTAGCTGCCCCTTAAATTCTACTTTTAATAGACTCTGAACAATTAATAATTTTTATCTTATATTTAAGCTTTATGGAAGCATAAAGGAATGCATTCATTTTCTTTTTATTGCTGACATAATGCAATGTTAAGCATATTTAGAAATTATAAAATCCTCCCTGGGGGAGGCAATAGTACAAAAAAGGATATTTTATAAGTTTCAAGGCAGTCATACATGCGATTAGCTATTATTACTTTCTTTAAATACAGATTATCTAAATAAAATATAGGCAGTCATAATAATTTTACTAGCTTGACCTATAAGATTTTAGGAACAGTTTTTTTTTCCTGTTTTGTAACTGATATGGTTAGAAAAGCGCTAGACTAATACTCAGAAAGCTCTGCCAATGGCAGCACCGCTTAGTAGTGTATGACCTTAGAAAAGTCATATAACTTCTCTAAGCTTCAGTTTCCTTTTCATTAACTTAGAAGATTGTACAAAGTAACCCTTAAGACTCTTCCAACTTCAACTTTCAATGATTCAAAACTATATTTGAACATAGCATTAATTAAATTATATACACACGTGTGCACACTTATAAAAAGGGAGGGAGGGAAGAGGCATGTGTATATGTGATTTGCATTGGGAATGCTGAGGGGAGAAGGTGATCACGCAAGCAGTTTGTGTAATACTGGGCTTCCTGGCCAATGGCTGTGGGTTCGTAAGAGCTATATAAATAGGGTTATGGTTCATTCAGAGTAGAAGTAGACAAAGCGACCCACAAATCATCTCACAGTATAGTTTCATATATAAGGATGGTAATAGCTGAGAAAATAATTTACTGTGGCCAAATGCTTTGGAAAGTTTACTGTCTTTCCAGATTTCACATTTTCTGAAAACAATTTCCATTATATGTTCTGGAGATGAAGCAGAAATAATATATAGATATCTATACTGCATATTATTCAGTAATCATCCTAGGGAAAGTTTGGTCAGGGAAATTTGTTGTTATATTAAGATGTATTATTTATCAAGTTATGAAATAAATCTAAACTGGAACAAATTGAATAGAATCAATCCATGAAAGAGTTAAGGTTTTACTAGTCTTCGTATTTTCAAAAATCAATTTATGTGCTGTGTTTTTCTCATGATTTCTATTTAGATTTAGTCTTATGGAAATTATTTTGAAGATACCTTATTTTGTCTTAATTTTTAATAGATGATAGTATCTCTGCTACAAGTACTTCTGATGTCCAGGATCGTCTCTCTGCCCTTGAGTTGCGAGTTCAGCAACAAGAAGATGAAATCACAGTTCTGAAGGCAGCTTTGGCTGATGTGTTAAGGCGTCTTACAATCTCTGAAGATAATGTGGTATCTGTGAAAAAAACAGCCTCAAGTAAAGGTAATTAAATAGTAGGAATATTTCATTTTTCATTGTATTCTAGTTTCCTCTCAATACTATTTCTGTCATTAGAATTGTACGTGTAAAATATATTCCCTCTTAGGTCAGTTATCAGTAAAAGCTAATTTTGAGGTTTGTTGTTGTTTGGGTTTTTTTTTAATCTTAAAACTTATTCTAGGTTTTATGCATTAAGAGCTATATAAATATGCTGAATCTTATTACCAGTTCAAAATTTGTGATACTCGGTGGTGAATCAATTTATGACAAAGAGCTATATAAATATGCTGAATCTTATTACCAGTTCAAAATTTGTGATACTCGGTGGTGAATCAATTTATGACAAAGATTTTTTGAACAATCTAGTCTGACAAGATTGGTGGTACAAGAAGCAGATCTTCCAAGCCCTTTCAGAACCTGTTGTATACCATCCTCAGACAGCAACATAAGACATCATCACAGGCATATCTGACTAGGAAAAGAGGTTGTTTTGACCTTATCGACAGTGAGAGAAATGGGCAAATAGCTATTATAAGGTTATAGATGGACAGAACTTCAGATCATCTATTCCAACTTAACTCATTTCACAAGATGAGAAAACTAAGGCCCAGAGAGATTCAATGATGGGCCCAAAAATAAAAAGTAGGAGAGCTGGAATTTGAGCCTGAGTCCTGGGCTTAAAATTCAGCACTCTTCCCACCATGACAGGCAAAACTCCTAATGTGGGTAACAAGTCCATGTCTGTCCATATGACTCTCAGATCTGTAGATTAGATCTAATTTCTTTCCTGGACTGTAGACACAAAACCTTCTGAATTCTCCTTCCACAATGTCTCTCACCTTTGTCTCCACTCATGTGGCCACCAGCTAAGCTCACACTTTTATTATGTCTTTCCCGCACTGTTCTCATTGCCTCTTAACTGGTCTCCCTGCTTCTTCCTTTCTCTTCTTCCCTTCAGTGTTTTCTTTGCACATTTGTAAAATAATCATCCGTTAAGGTATAGGCCTGACCATGTCACTCCTAAACCTACTCAGACAAATATTTAAGGACCTCCATCATTTGGCTGCTACCTACCTTTCCAGACTTATTTCGCACTGTTCTTTATGAATTCTGTTCCAGCAAAACTGGATTGCTACCTGCTTACTGAAATCAGTGTTCCTTTCCTGCTTTCATGTATTTGTAAAAGGCATCCTTCAACCTGGCAGTGTATTACCTCCTCTTTTCTGTCTGACATCTAGTTGATGTGGTAGCTAAAGCACTGGGCCTAGAGTCAGGAAGACCTGAATTCAAATCTAGCCTCCAACACTTACAAGCTGTGACCCTGGGCAAGTCACTTGACCTCTGTCTACCTCAATTTCCTCAACTATAAAATGAAGAAAATAATAGCACCTACCTCCCAGAATTGTTTTGAGGGTAGGTGAAATAATATGTCAAATACTTATTGTGGTGCCTGGCACACAGCAGGTACTTAATAAATGCTCATTTCCTTCCTTCTCTCACTCCCTCTCCTTCCTCCCTCCCTTCCTTCCCCTTAATT